TGTTGATAGTTGATCCAAGAAGAATGAAGTCCTTGCAAGTTCAATCTTTTCTCCGTTGATGAGAATGTTGTTTATTGGTCCAGTGGTGAGGATTTTTGTTTTCTTTACATTGGGATGTAATCCATACCGAAGGCTGTGCTCTTTGTTCTTCATAAGTAAATATTTTAAGTCCTCTTCACTTTCAGCAAGCAAGGCTGTATCATCTGCATATGGCAGGTTGTTAATGAGTTTTCCTCTGATCCTGATGCCATGTTTTTCTTCATAGAACCCAGCTTCTGGGATTATTTGCTCAACATACAGGTTGAATAAGTATGGTGAAAGAATACACCCTTGTTGCAACCTTTCTGAATTTTAAACCATTCAGTGTTCCTGTGTTCTGTTCGAACAACTGCCTCTTGGTCCATGTACAGATTCCTCATGAGCACAATTAAGTGTTTTGGAATACTCTTACTTCGCAATGTTGTCCATAACTTGTCATGATCCACACAATCAAAAGCCTTTGTGTAGTCAATAAAGCACAGGTAAGCATCTTTCTGATATTCTCTGCTTTTAGCCAAGATCCACCGGACATCAGCAATGATGTCCTCGTTCCACAGCCTCTTCTGAATCTGGCTTCAACCTCTGGAAGTTCTCTGTCAATGTATGATTGTAGCTATTTCTGTATTACTTTGAGTAAAACTTTACTTGATTGGATATCAAAGAGATTGTCTGATGATTTCTGCATTCCGTTTGTCACCTCTCTTTGGAATGGTCACAAACACAAATCTCTTCCAGTCGGCCAGATCGTCGTCTTTCAAATTTAATGCAGAGATGAGTGAGTGCCACCTGTGCCACCTCACTTTCTTGAAAGATACCAAATTTTATTCCATCAATACTTGGTGCCTTGTTCTTTGCCAATTCTTTCAATGCACCTTGGACTTCCTCCTTCAGTATCATTGGCTCTTGATCATATGCTACCTCTTGAAATGGTTGAATATTAGCCATTTCCGTTTGGTACAGTGACTCTGTGTATTCCTTCCATCTTCTTTTGATGCTTTCTGCATCATCCAATACTTTGCCCAGTGAATCCTTCAATAACGAAAGTTGAGGCTTGAATTTTTTCTTCAGTTCCCCCAGCTTGAGAAATGCTGAGCGTGTTCTTCCTTTTTGGTTTTCTTATTCCAGATCTTTGAATATTTTGTTGTAATACTTGGCTTTATCTTCTTGAGCTGATTTTGGAAATTTTCTGTTCAGCTCTTTGGACCTTCTCATTTTTTCCATTTGCTTTAGCATCTCTGTGTTGGATGCCAAGTTTCAGTGTCTCTTCTGACATCCATTTTGACCTTTTCCTTTTTTTTCTTGTCTTCTTAGTGACTTTTTGCTTTCTTCATGTATGATGTTCTTGATGTCATCCCACAATGCTTCTGGTTTTCAGTCTTTAGTGTTTAATGTATCAAATCTGTTCTTAAGATGATTTCTAAATCCAGGTGAGATATATTTAAGGTCATATTTTGGCTCTCCTCGACTTGTTTTCATTTTCTTCAGCTTCAGTTTGAATTTGCATATGAGTAATTAATGGTCTGTTCCATGATCTGCTCTGGCCTTGTTTTGACTGATGATATGGAGCTTTTCCATCATCTCTTTCCGCAGATGTAGTCAATTTGATTTCTATGTATTCCATCTGGTGAGGTCCATGTGTATAGTCATCTCTTATGCTGTCTAAAGAAGGTATTTGAAGTGAACAAATCATTCATTTTTCCGAATTCTATCATGTTATTTCCAGCATCATTTCTATCACCAAAGCCATATTTTCTAAGTATTGATCTTTCCTCTTTTCTCCCAACCTTTGCATTCCAATCACCAATAATGATCAATACATCTTGATTGCATGTTTGATAAATTTCAGATTGAAGAAGTTGGTAGAATTCTTTTATTTCATCCTCATTGGCTTTAGTGGTTGGTGCATAAATCTGAATAATAGTGGTATTAACTGGGCTTTCCTATAGGCACATGGATATTATCCTATCACATTCAGCGTTGTACCTCATGACTGATCTGGATATGTTCTTTTTGGCAATGAATTCAACACCATTCCTTTTCAATCTGTCATTCCCAGCTTAGTAAACCATGTGGTTGTCAGATTCAAAATGGCCAATACCAGTCCATTTCAGCTCATTAATGCCTAAGATATTGATGTTTATGCATTCCATTTCATTTTTGACAACTTCCAATTTTCCTAGAGTCATACTTCATACATTCCACATTCCGATTTTCAGTGGATGTTTACAGCTGTTTCTCTTCATTTTGAGTTGTGCTCCATCAAATTTGCTCCAGCAAATGAAGGTCCTGTGTGTTTTTCTCCCACGGGCTTTACTCCATTCACATCATCATGGTCAACTCTACTTTGAGGAGGCAGCTCTTCCCTAGTCACATTTTGAGTGTCTTTCACCTGAGGGGCTCATTTTCTGGCAGTATATCTTACATTGTTTCTCTGCTATTCATAAGGTTTTCAGTGACTAAATATTCAGAAGTAGTTCATCACTCCTTCTTCCTAGTCTTTCTTCATCTGGAAGCTCATCTGAAACCTGTCCACCATGGGTGACCCTGCTGGTATTTAAAATACTGGTGGTATAGCTTTCAGAATCACAGCAACTCACAAGCCACCACAGTACGACAAACTGACAGACGAGTGGCAGACCTCCCCTCTACAGACTGTGTAAGTGAGAAGAAAAGAAATGTGGAATGTCTGCTTCCAACTCCATTCCCTAATAGGTACTCAGCCTAACCTCCAGTTCCAAGATTCTTGTCCCAAAGTTACTTTATTAGCTCAGATGTACAGTTCCAAATATTATCTTCCTCCCAATCTGTGTAGTATTTTTTTCCAATCCTCCTGTGGCCTCTGAAATCCCTCCTCCCAGCTCTGGACTACTATATGTCTGTACTTTGCCCAGCATATACATTCATCGTGGCTTCTCTGTCCATTTAAAGAGCCCTTGGGTTCTACAGAGCTCACGCTGGACAGAGGTCTTGGAAAGTTCTGATGTCCACTAAGGACACAGCAGAGAATCATAGTTGGAACTACTGAAAAGGCTGAGATCAGATACCGTAATGACAGTACAATTGGAGGCCAGGTTAAAATGGCAGTGGTGTAAAACAAGAAGGGATTTCATTTACCTGGTTTTAAGTGGATAAACAGCCTGGGGAAAG